ATTCATAACGAAAAACTGAATTAAAGCTAATTTATATTTAAAATATAATAATAACTAAGACTTTGTTTTGAATGAATATATAACTAAATATAGATCAAGAACTTCACATGATGTGGTGCTGCAGGTTTTTCCGGGTTTTCCTGCAGCTGAAAAAGCAAATGCGTCACTGGAATCAATGAAGTCGCCCCGGAGCGCCAATTAATTTTTATTGTTGTATTTATTTTATTTTTATCGTTGTTTTAACACATTGTAATGATTTTACTAAATATGTAAACGTGTATCCTATATAGAATATGTGCGATATATTTTTTTTTCTTTTTTGTGATTTTCTGTTATTTGGTTATAATAGACTAATTTATTTTGATTCTTATGTATTATATTTAGATAAAGTACATTAATTATGTTTATATTAGGCTTGCCTAACTGGAAATAAAGTTCTTCTAGATCAAGCAATAATGCCGTTAATTCTGTCAATACAGAATTCGAGCTGGAAAGTTACAAACATGCATACAAACAAACATACATACATATGATGTACTGTTTGGAACCTTTGGTTTAGTAATTAATATAAAACTGTTTTATCTTCCTCTTGAAGATGATCACTTGGTGATCGAAACACATGTTGAGGTGTTAAAAATAACGATTTGGTGTTGAGAAAAAACTCCAGTAATATTCATACATACATACAGGTGAAGCTAACATAAAGCGTGTAATAAAAATAAATTATAAAATTCAGCTTTCACATGGTAGACATAACTACTTAATTTTGTCTCTTCCACACTTTATTTTTATTTCTAATAACTTGTATGGTAACCTTAAAATTTGTGCAATAATACAACTCATTTCTTTAAACAAATCAATAATTACCTCTATTTGTACTGGCCACCAAACAGCCTTCAGTCGTTGCTAAAGGTATATAAAACTTCTTATCATCCAAGAGCAAAGGACCAGCAACTCCAACAGGCACTGGAACATATCCTATCACATTCTCACAGCAAGCGCCTAAAACCTTGCTGTAATCATAATTTTCATAAGGAAGACTAGTGAACACATCTGGAAAAGGTATGGAATTCTGAATAATTTTTCGTCGAATTTTAACACCCCTGATAGGGTTTCTCACAGCTTTCTCTAGAGTATACGAAGGAATATGTTTTGTATCCACAAGCATCATGATTTCTCTGTCAGATAGTTTGTTAGCGTCATCTGTACGGTATATTTCCAAACAATCTTGTAAAGTTCGGAGACTGTCCAGATCAGAATTGGAATTTGTTTCTTCAACGCAAAATATAGGTTCCACGCTGCCTTCAGTTTGAACTTGTACGCTAGTAGAATAAGTTCTTTGACGCCTGTCTAAACAAACATTTGTCTGAATCAGAGCTTCATTAGACTGTTGCACGGTGTTATCTGCAAGAGACTCCCTATTTTCAAAGAACACAAACTTTATAATAAGCGTAATCAGCAGAATTAGAATGACGATATGATCAGCACTCAGAGCAAACTGCTTCATCAAATAACCATAAGTAGTTTCTTCAGTACAGTTGACCACTTTACTGTGCAAAACAGAGTTAGCTTCACTATCGGACCATCGACTGAGGATATGAACTACCATTAAACCTAGAGACATGATTACTTTCACTCGCTGTACAGCAGGATTAGATTTCTCATGCTCCTCTAAAAGCATGTTTCTTATTTTTGTCTGTTCCTCCTCGTAGTTTTCAGATACCCTTCCAAGCTCCAGCATTAAGGACAAACAAGCTGGATAAAAAGTCATAAATATTACATAGTTAACGATGACAGATAGGCAGGCGAAGTACGACAGCATCTCTAATCGATGTACTCCTGACAGAGTACCTACTCCTATCACTAAAGTTTCTACAACAGTATCCAGGGTAATGGTAGGCCCTAAAGCGGAAACTCCTTTGGCAATATTATCAGTAATCTCGCCCTTGTGCGAAGATGTCAGAGCAAACTGAGCTAGTTTAGCTGCTTTTGTCAGATCTATTAACAATAAAAAGAAAAAGAGAGCATCTTTGAGGTCGACCAGCTCTATCTGGAGTATCTTCAAAACAGCTGAGGTGAATACAAAGCTCGAGAATACTACAAACAATCCAGCGAATGCCAGGATGTACTTGGATCCTAATTTTTGTAGGTTTCTGAACTGGTGATAGCTGTAGAGTATTGCAAGGCATCGTATTACCGTCATTACTATTACGTCGGCAGCGATAAAATGTTCTTCAATGCAACCACTGCAAGGTGTTACTTCTTTTGCTGATATGGAGTATTTAGGCTTATCCATCGTTAAGAAACATGTTGTTAATGTTATAATGGTTACAATTACTTCCCAAGGATGTGTAGCACACATTTTTCCATAAACTTGGAACAAATGCGACATTTTGAATGTGTTTGAAGACTTACTCGAGAATATTTGGGAAACTTATACTACAACTTGAAATATCATCTGCGATCAGCATACATTTTCGGTTTCTTCATTTCGACATATTGGATTTCATAACCAAACTCTCAAAATTAAAGACTTTCACTTTTATTTCACCTTGCATTTTTCACTGACATTTAAACATAGATCATAACGACTGTGTGATCGTGATCTGTGGATTTGAATTACACGGTAAATATGAATTATGTAACAAAAAGATAAATCTAGTGCTTCCAATCTTTCCAACTATAAATTACAAAATGACATGACTGTCATGACTGATATCATAAATATAGTGTTGCCAATGACATATCTACAAAATACCCACACCATCCAACCAAAGGTGTTTTCTGGCGTTTAGTCGTATTCGAGCGTGTATTCACAAACGATTCGTAGTAACGTCTTTAATACTAGAGGTGTTTTCTGGCATCAAATCGTATTCGAGCATGTATTCAAAAACGATTCGTAGTGACGTCATTAATAATAAGATTCGCCAAAATCATTCCATTCTGGCGAATCTTATTTGTGTCAGATGTCAAATTCAATAATAAAAACAAACTATGAAATTTTCTTTAATCTCAATCAGAATCAAATTGGTGCATACAATTTTTTGCATAAATATTACAAATAAAGTTGCATTTTTGGAACCAGTGTACAAGAACTTTTTTTTCAACAACATCAAAATAAAGCAGAAACTGACAACTAACGTAACGAAACGTCAAATTCCGTTTCAAAATCAACCTCACGCTAGTTTTGAATCAACATGAATACGATTCAAATTATAATTGATGTGACGTCATCGTTTCAACGCCAGAATGAATGTATTTGAATAATCACAGACAAATACGTTTTGAATACATGAGCGCCAGAAAACACCTTAAAAGATTCGCCAGAATGGAATGATTCAGTTTGTGTCAGATGTCAAATTCAATAATAAAAACAAATTTTTCAATTTTTTCCAACTCGATTATAATCGGATTTATGCGAGTAATAATATTCCAGCTTTATTTTGTACAGCCTTACAATGTATTTGATGAAACGTTTTCAGCACTTTAAAAACTATAACGATCAAAATAAAGCAGAAACTGACAACTGACGTATCATAATGTCAAATTCCGTTTCAAAACTAACTTCATGTTAGTTTTGAATCATGATGAATACGTTTCAAATTATAGTTGATGTGACGTCATCGTTTCAACGCCAGTATAAATGTACTTGAATCACAGACGAATACATTTTGAATACATGACACCAGAAAACGCACTATTACAAAATACCCGCACTTTGACCCCTTCTGACACATTCAAAAGCACTTAAATTTTGTCTACATAGAATTACAGGTATATTAACAAACATTGAGATAAAAGAATAAAACAAAATAAAAGAATGAACAAA